TCACCGGGTCCCCCTCTGCCCACCCCCCCAGCCTGTTCAGGTCTCACTGAGTGGCAGCACAGCCTGCTCGTGCGTTCTGCTGGCTTAGCCAGCAGCGCCTGGGAATGTGCCAGACTCGCCCCCAGCACCCCCCTCCTCGCCCTCCCAGAGCCTCCACATCCAACTGCTCAACTTGTTTTTAATTTTTTCACTTCAGTTTTTTCTGCATTGTACCCCAACAGCCTGTACACCACAGAAATGAAGCAGTCATTTTTTCCCCCAACCTTTCATAAACACTTAGCTTCGACCCCTTCATCCAACGTGGGTTTAAAACAACCAAGCACACACGGTAATTCTTTAAGACCTTTATTAACAGATGCTTGCAGTTTGACTTGAAAAAATCAGGTGTATATTTCATACAAATTAAAAATGAGGTTCTTAAAAATCTCAACTTGACCAGATATGAAACAATTTAAAAACCTTTAAAGGTATATTGAGAAAAAACAGGCTTTTAAAAAACGTGTTTATCGTTTCCAAAAGGAGACTTCTTTAGGTAAAAATAATAAAAACCCCATGCTGCATAGATAATGCAGATAGTTCTAGTAATCTGGTCAACAGCAAAAAGCAAGCACTTAAGGTCTTCAGTTCCAATTCTTTTGTTCATTTCTTATTGCTGGAATTTCATTTTCTTTTCTTCTTCTTTTCTTAAGTCTTTTCTTTGATGACTAAACTGAAAGAGAGAAGAAAAAAAAAAAAAAGTTGATCAGACAGGTACCAGAGGGTTACACGGGCGCTTTGTCCCCCAAGCCTTGCCTGCAATTCAGATTCTGAGCCGCCTTTTGAACACACAAAGCCCCAAAACCTCACCAACGACAGCTCTACTTAGCTGCCAGACTCCCACCATCACCACTGACAGTCACCAAAACTGCCACCTTCCACACCAAAAAGGGCTCCAGAAAGAGAAGACGTGGAGTGTACAAGCAAAGGACTCCCATCAAGACCTCCCCCTCACCGGCCTCCTGCTCCAGTCCGTTTGGCGAAGGCCTCCCAGCAGAGCCGCTCGCGCCGGGCTCTGCGGACACCCCCCCCAGCCACTGCCCAGACCGCAGAAACCACGATTTACGTTCTCCAATACCATCACTGGACAGAAAGCGCAACCAAGCGCCGCCTTGGGGCTTCCCTGCAGCCCACGGTATTAAGAATTCACCCAGCCTGTGTTAACCGTTAAGGTGAACGCCAGGACGAAACCAGGGCGAGCAGAGCACAGCACAGCAAGGCCAGAGGAGGGACCAGGTAAAATCCATCTGCACAACAAACCCAGCAGCATCCCAGCCCTCGGAGAGCGAGTCCCTGTGCTGGGAGAGGCCGCCGAGCTGCCATCCCTGCCCAACCCCTGCCCTCCCCGCTCCCACCAGAGCCAAAACGCGTCCTCCTGTCTGCCTGTCCCCCAGGCAAGAAGCCTGGAGTGAGGCACAACAGGAACGGGACAGGAACACTGGGGAGAGAGGGAACGCAGACAAAGTGCCAGACAGGCAAGGAAGGTGCCAGCAAAAAGCAGAACAAGTGGAAAAGTCCTAGATTTTGCCAAATTAGCAAAACTGTCCATGAGAAAGCAGCACCAAGCCCCAGCCAGCCCACCTCGCAATGAAAACCGCGTTGTACCAGCGCCCTAAGCCACGCCAGCACCTCAGTCCCCCAGCTGCTCCATAAGAAGGACCACCTCCACCAGTTTTCCCAGCGCTTTTTGGGTTAGATAACCAGCTGCTACGGAGACGCTCCCGCAAATTCTGCGTCAGCGTTCCAGATATTAATGCTTAGAGGTCTCTGCCCCTTTGGGACCAAGCAATAAAAGTCCAGACACTTACACAGCTGAGCAGATCCCAACCCCTCTTTCTCCCAGCTACTCTCAGGTCACTAGACCAGCACTGCTGGAATTAGCATTCCCGGGCACACAAAGACTGCCGTAATGCTGAGCTTCCAAGCACAGCCAAGATTTCCAGATTAGCAGTATTCTAGGCAGTGACTCCATCAATGAAATTCAAAGCCTGGTAACTGAGCCCTCCCAATTAATCAGCATTTGCACAGCAAAGTCTCACAGTTCCGCTTTGCGGGCATTAGTGAGCACGCTCACGAGTGCGGCCAGTTCAGTTACAACACGCGTGAGCAAGAACAGGTCAAACCTTCAAAGGCAAAAATTACAGGAAAGCGTCAAAAGAAAGCAGCCAGCCATCAAACCGCGTCCTCACGCGCCTCCGGACACGCACCCGGATGATGGTAGAGATGGTAAGCCGGTATTTACTCAGCCCCGCCCTGCTCGGCCTCGGGAGCGGACGTGTTCTCAGCTGGTGGTTCGGCTGTCTTCGTCTCTTTGCCATCTTGTGGTTTAGGGTTCTCTGGGCGTCTGCGTC